AAACCTTAGAAAAGGATCGATTAAGAACAAGCTGTCTCGACGGAGATAAAGTGACCGCAGATCTCCAGAAGGTGCTATCGTAAGCCATCGGATGTGAAAGCATCTAGTTGCTTCTTGGAGGATAGAAACAGTATTCGTTTCACTTAGGATGCCACGAAGCGTAACCGGAACTGAACGAAGAGCCACAGCCAGGTGCGCATGAATAACTGCTTCCAGGGAGACTGTTGCGATTATAGTATCTCCCGGCTTCTGTCGGTTTGCACTGAGTAAGCGGGACAATGCTTCTATCTGCCCGAAATCTGGCATTCGCCGGTAATACATTTCAAAGTCATGGTTCAATAGTATAATTGCCTAGCGTTACAACCTGCTGGCAGCATACTCTGGATGCCGAAAATAGCAAGTAACGGTTTCTGCTCGGTTAGCAAACGGAAGTAGTGACTGTAGGTCATCTTTTGGACCTTCCTCACAGAGAACACTAGAACTAATGCTTCTTTTTCGATTTGAACATAATTATTCTCAGCAGTCGTAAGTGTGCGAATAGCATGCATGATAGCTTTCTCCGATCCGTCTGGAAACATGTGGGAGATAAATGCACTGACACCTTGGCTGGAAGCTTCCGAAGCGACTATGCTCGGTAGCTTGGGATCAAAATGTGTCAGAAAGAGGTCGGAACCAAACATGGTTTTAAGATGGTTAAATGTACCTTCACATTATGATGAACAGGACCAAACATCATCTTTTTTGAGCAATTTATTCAATGATATTTTGACATTGTGGACGGCCGGTAAGAATGCACCGTACTGAGCCACCTGCCAGAGGAAAGACCGTGAAGAAGATACATCCTTCGGAGTAGGCATCTCCTGGATTATACGCACATTATCAAGGTCGAGACGGCTACCATTTATATCGTTGCTGAAACCGAGATAGTTGATTTCTTGGAAGAAGGACTGACACTTGCCCTGTTGCAGCCGGAATCCGTACTCCACAACACGACGTAGAACCTCAAAGAACCTTTCGTATAGCTCTTCACTGGTGCGACCCATTCTAATGATATTGTCGTGATACACCGCAGCTCCGGTTACGCCAGAGATCACAGAGTGTATTATCTGTGAAAAAATTGCTGGAGCTGGCTTGAATCCGAACGGTAGGCGGTTATACTGAAATAAACTACGGTGCATGTTGCCGGGATAGTTCGACTTACAAGCAGGTATCTGCCAGATCCAGCTTGAGCATGGTGAAGAAATCTTCCGGAATCAGCAGCGGATGGCAATGTTCTTCTAATGATGTATTTAATCCGATAGAAAAGTCGGCACCCATACGAACTAAACCATTTACTTTCTTGATGACAACAAGTGGAGCTGCTTATGGGGAATAATTCACCAGAGAGCTGATACCCATTTCTTCGAGACGCCGTATGGCACTGATCGCTATAGGCAAAACGATGGAACACAACCAGGCTTTAATCGGAGAGTTGTTTGAGGCCGTGTGCAGCAGTCAAGACCATCTGGAGAAACATTAGTGAAGTATCGGACAATATGTTTTGCTGTTTTAAGCTGTATTCGGCGGCAAATGACGTCCAGTACATTAGCAGCACGGTCCAGTTTGTCCATCCAATCCAACTCAAAAAGATTGCGAATGGAGTCTATAATATAGCAAACATCACTGATGGTTGTAACTCCAAATGTGACAGACCAGGAAAGCTGATCATTTAGGCGAACCGAACTGCAACAGGCACTGGTTGCTTCTTGTGAAGCCGGTTGAACAAGTGGGTTACCCATGGAAGTCCGTATCTCCTGAGTGATCATAATGATACCGGATACGGCGTCGAGCTAAAGTTTGGCGACTTGTCTGTCGATTGGTACGGAGACGAACATTCGGCGAAAAGCGACATCCATTTGGAATGTAGCTAGGAGGCTACGGGAGTGTACGGCTTGAGTAAGATGCTTTGATTGCTCTTTCAGTCTCAAAGGCTTTCTAAAACTGGCTGGGTCTGACAAAATCTGGTTACATCGCTAATTTCGGTGGTGTCTGAACGAACAAAAGCGAGCGAAATGTTATTTGTTGCCGACACGGTGATTGGGGTATCTTCTTTTTGCTGGAATGGGGGTGGGTGATTGATGTTTGAAAAAGATTCGGAGAGATTGTATGGACCCAATCGGGCGGTCAGTGTCTCGGGCCATGGCCGCATCGTGTTTCTGGTTAATCTGGCGCATTCAGTAGCGACACTCTGCAGCGGCATCTGAGGATCCTGCTCAACTTTGTTTAAGAGCCAATTGCGTAGATCGGCATCCTTTGGTGACTGAAGACCGCAGTTGAACACGCGGCATTTACACTGGTCGTCCGTGAGAGAACGTAGTTTGAATTGTTCACATTCTCGTTTAATCACCCCGGCATATGTGACAAAATCGTCCACGTCACGTTGTACAAGTTTGAGACACCGGTAACGAATATTAAAAATGTGATGACTGCACACCGAACATTTGTGGGAATATTTGCACTGTCTCATCGTATGACCGATCGCGTGGGTTCTGTGGTAAAATGAAATTAGAATATTTGTCATGTTAGGCAGGACCGCGTTTGCTCGGCAGAAGGTGAATTTTCAATGCGTCGTCAGCATTAGCAAACTCAACGCGGAATAAGTCTTCGTATCAGTTGAACCAGAATGCAAACATTACGTTAGCCACAGGATCAAACAAACATTCTGTGATGCTGTTGGTAGCTTGTTCACTGAATTCGGAGATAGAGAAGTTTGTAGACTGTCCCAGAGAGGATGTAGTTAAACGTTCGGTAATCAGCTCCATTAGTCGCACCTGATGCTTCAGGATTAGCTTGATTTCAGCACCGTCGATACTCATTCGTAAAGTGAATTCCGTCGCCAAATTGTTACCATCCAACGGCCACTGTCGCGAATGCAGTACGAACACACAAGGCACGGATAACCCACAAAAGGTACACAACCCAGCGCACGGACGGGACAGACTCGGCTTCCAACTGATCAATTCTGCACGAGATCTGTTCTGATGACACATCCAGCATTCAACAATGAAATATGTGATTATTGATAGGTCTACTAGCGATCTTGGGAGGTTAGCCAAGCACAGTCCAGCAATGAGGGGGAAACGGATGTGCAGGGGCCATTCAAAAAGCAAGGTTGCGGTTACTAATAAATCAATAGTCACCTGGCAAGCACGCACCTACGCGGCTGTCACTCATTGCGAAGTGGCACTAGCTGTTGACATCCGGAGGTCATGGGGTCGGAACCCGGTAGAGGACCGATGGAAGTCGCACTACTGAAGAGACCCAGGTCGAAGCAGCGCTGTCTGATGCTTTTCCAGGCTTGCCAACGTCCGCTGACTTAGAGTGGACTACAACGAATTACGTCTGATTATACCGAAACACCCCTCTCATTAGTAATTCACATTTTTCTTGGTTCCAGCCTAATTCAGGGATAACTAGCGTTTTCCTAACATTGTGGATAACAATCACGATAGCGATTATTCCACAGTACACAATCACAACTTCAGGAGAAGCTTAATATGTGCCATATGCACCAGGAATGTGATATGATACATAACTTGTGCAATCAACATGCTGCAACTGACTTTATCGGCGATTGCCACCAGTTTCATAAGTAGATGAATGGAATGCGTTAGCAAGACAACTGTAACGGACAAATTAACTTGTTCAACCTATCTGGAGATTTCCCCTACTGATTGACCCCAAACAACCAAGCACTACCCCTTGATTGCTTATTTGACATTGCATGATAAACCTCAGTTGCTTTGTTTCTCGTTCAGATTTGGGCCTTGCTTAACCACAAGAGTTTGCCCGTTTTACATCGCTTGATGGTTAAACTTGCTACTCCCGCGTTCCACGCGCACTGCTTATTGGCTGATCGATTGACGATTGATCACTTCGCTGTAAACCACGCTGACATTATAACCGTTTCGTTTCATTGCGCTCATCTGCTGCTCATTGCTGTTGGCGGCACGTTGCATTTGAGAACCGAATTATTGTACACATTTGGTCTGGAAATTTTTTGAGGTTTGTTATTAACTTGTTATCTAACCATTAGTAAATAGCACCTTAGCTCTTCCGGCTTTGCTTTTTGGATTGACCCGGCTGCGCTAAGAGCTGCTGAGGTTCCAAGACCGATTGGTCGGTAATCACAACATTTAAGCTAGGTTTAAAAATTTAATCCCGGCTTCATATGTACAGTGTACACGATACAACTAGCTCTTAGGAAGAGAGCGGTGAGCTGCAAGGATGGATACGACATCTGGCGGGGCAAAGAAGATCGAATGAATCCAGCATGCCGCTACCAGGCTCATTCAGAGTTTACGGGATTTTCGTACGAAGGTCAGTACGAAGACCGGTACGAAAACCTCTACGCCTTGTCCTATCGTCAGTTAAGAGTCAATCTCAATGAGACCTACCACATGTTGCATCTTGGTGACTTCCCATGTTAAAGCCGCCGTTTCACATGCGAACACCATGCAACACACGAGAACATCGATACAATCTTGCAATGCCGGATATAAAGTGAGATCCCAAACCACTGTGCTCCGAACGGACAGTGATAAATGTTTGGAAGAGTCTGCGAGAAAGCGTCGTGGAGGCCAAATCATTACAGAAACTCAAAAACTGGTTGGCTTAACATTTGACTACTATTCGACTCAGAGTACGACTATACATTGATAATGACAACTTACATTTGTGAGACCAATGTGTGTTAGACGTTTCTAAATGTTATTTAAGATATGGAAGAACGATTAGTGTATCAACAGGTAGCAGATAACTTTTATGACCCTTTTGATTATATTCTGATGGAGTTGTACGGCTTTAAATTTCTACTTCTTCAGACTCTGAGCATATGATTGAATGTATCGGTTGAATATTGATCAAATATTGTTATTGACTGAATAGTGATTTACTGCGTGCAACAAAGGAAAACAAAGTTGCAACTAAACCTCATGCCAGAAGACAAGGCACTGACGTACCTACAAAGGCAATGTATCGATCAAGAATTCCAAAACACGCGTGCTGGCTCAAACTTGGCGAGTCACCTGAGGTCAAATCGACCCATTCTCCCACAGATGGTGATATCCGGATTCGGTAGAGACCATTTGAAACATCACGTCCAGATGTGTCATTGGAAGCAACTCCACCATGAACGTACAAGCAATCTCCGATACACATTCCTGGATACAAAGTGAACTTTTATGACGCGCCGACCTACCAGAATGGTTTCGTAAATGGGGTCCTTCGGCATTTTGCACAGGCATCCACTGTAATGGGGAAAACACACACATTTTCCTACTGTTGGGCTGCTTTCCTGCCATAAAATCACAGTTGTTTGAGGATCCACACCACCAATAGCATATTCAGATAGTCAGTGGGTTGGCTGCAGCGCAAAGCGTATCACTCATTAGTTGTCAAGCGTAAAATTAGGAGAACATTAGATGGATAAAACAATGATCAGGACTACACGCGGAAGTATTACTCATGTAAAACATGATGAGTGCGAAAAGTGAACAGATTAAATACCCGAACAACGGTTATGGGATGACATACAGTAATAGCTGTTCCATACTTTCTTTGTTACCATGCGAACTTGTCAATTATTAATTTTGCTGGTATTTCAGACACGTTAATTTTGTATGAAGTGCCAAAGTAACTGGGCGTCTGAAACTTCACTACGAATAGCTTCAAACTCAGATGTGTGAAAGGAATGACGGTTATCTCCCCAAAAAGCAGATTGAACGACGCAGTGTGCAGCATTATTGGATGACATGGTTTGCAATTTCCTCTTGTACGCTATCATTGCCTTGATGGTGCTCGCGTTTAACATAGGTCCACTTAGCTGCATGTAGTCGAGTAAGACAGAGGTGTAAGCATTTGTCGAGTAAATAACGGAGATGGTACATGAGGTATTAAATGTAGCGGTGCTTGTAGGTTAGAGCTACTGCTAAAATACAATCTGGATGACACGCAACACAAGCAACAATCAGTAGGTTACCCATCGACTTTGCCTTTACTCGCTATGTGCCGAAATAGATAGCAATAGTAGTAATAGTGGTAGTAGTATTATTAGTAGTGACAGTAGTAGTATATCAACGGTACGCTGACAATTTGAAAATCACTTTAGTGCTCTGACACTGTGTTCATAACGTGGGTTACGACGTGAACTAGTTTGATAATCATATCACTCAAGTAACTTTATGCAAAATCATTCATGATCTTCAGTGTTTTATGCTTCCCTGCAACGCAACTGTGATATAGCAACATAATTGCTGTGTATGAGTTTGGGGATAAGGCGATTAACAAATGGCAGGGTTACTGACCCAACTAGAAAAGTTTTGGTCATATTACAATTCGGGTGGCTACTTTTGCAACCTAGGAATCATACTAAGCAAATTAGAGACCGAGAAATTAAACAGTGGACTGCTTCTGAAGCATTTCTACTTCCAATTTCAATTTTTTGCCAAATATCTGGTAGCAGATATCCCAGGTGACGGTAGAGTAAGAATACCGCAGTAATAGACATTATGCGAAAGCCACCGGATATCTTACAGGGTAAAGAATGAAAGTCCCACTCTTCCATAACTCGGCAGTAAGGCGGATCGCGTTGAATCAATTAAGGAAAATTTGAAGAAACACCTCATTCTAAGACTAATGCTGGCGCCGATCTTTGCCATCTAACCCTTTTTCGTTCAGCTCCTAACCACTGCTTGTTACCTACTTTAATCTCTTTAATATTTATACCTGAGTATTCCCAAAATCTATTTGCTGTTGGAAGGCCCACTTAATCGACCTAATTCCCTTTGATGAATCGGTGCATTAAAATAGTTAGGATGACCATCTAGTAAATGGCATTGATAGCATCGCGTTCCCCGCGAAGTTTATCCCAATAACTACCCACGACCTGAAGTACAAAGTAGTGAAGTGCTGAGTTTTAAATACTGGCCACGACGGCTATGCACACAACGTGATCAGTGTTCCTGCTAAATTTGTATTTGGTAGAAATTCGTCACATCTTGACTTCCTCAGACGGTCAGCACACGCACGGAAAAGCACTGTACAGCCGTTTCAGCCTATCGGGAATCGTCAGCAGTGCGCATTCCATCGGACCCTTGTGAGGCTCGAACGCGCAAGTCGACTGTTACCAGCCTGTGGTTGACACCAATTCGCTACGCGGACGGCAAGGACCAACGTGGATAAGTTACTATACCATTTCCCGGCCAAGTTGTCCACTTGGGCAACAGAAATAATCTGAGGGGGCATTCAACATGAGTCTACTCATTTTCAGTGGTCAGGCCAGGTGTCAACTCATCCTATTGCTCTATCATCGCCTAATACTAAGTACGTCCATTCGGCCGTGCATGTGCTCCCCGGTCGCCAAATGGAATACGCATGCGTTGGTGCAACAACACTGTACACGACCAACTGGACGACGCAAGTCACGGACTTTGGTATCTGATGGCAACAACCGGCGTTATGCACAGGGGACACTGATAAGTGTCGCGCAATCCTGTGCTATGTTGCAAGGTTAGTGTGGGACTGACGTAACACGGAAACAGCAAATTCCTCATTCTTGCTATTGGGGATCGTGATACTGTGTCATCGCGTTGCAACAAAAGGACGCATCCAAAAACACAGCCCTCTCCAAGTAGCAAGGAGGAGGAATTTGCTGTTTCCGTGTTACGTCAGTCCCACACTAATCTTGCAACATAGCACAGGATTGCGCGACACTTATCAGTGTCCCCTGTGCATAACGCCGGTTGTTGCCATCAGATACCAAAGTCCGTGACTTGCGTCGTCCAGTTGGTCGTGTACAGTGTTGTTGCACCAACGCATGCGTATTCCATTTGGCGACCGGGGAGCACATGCACGGCCGAATGGACGTACTTAGTATTAGGCGATGATAGAGCAATAGGACGAGTTGACACCTGGCCTGACCACTGAAAATGAGTAGACTCATGTTGAATGCCCCCTCAGATTATTTCTGTTGCCCAAGTGGACAACTTGGCCGGGAAATGGTATAGATGTGATAAGACGTCAGTTCCTATCCACTAACGCACGTTACTGCCGTGCAGAGGACAGGGTAGCCCCCTTATACCATTCAACTCCCCCTACTAATCATCTGTAAAATTGTATTTCCTATTTGTAACAATATTACTGACCGCATCGCAATTCTGCGAAAACAGAGTAAGCACTTTAAGGTTGTAAAGGTATAACGCTTTGCAAAGCACCAAGTTGGGATTAACATGATGTTATGGGGACCCAACGTCCCTATAATTATTACAGGCTTAAATTACGGAAGGCTGAAAACCCGATTCACACAAGTGCGCATGTACTCAGATCAGACAAAACGCACACGTTCAATCAGCCTTCCAACTCGTGAAACCTTCACATTGTTTAGCCTTTGCACCCAGAAACAGTCTTGTTTCCAACCAAACACGCATTGTTGTATCCAAGCAACATTTATTTTTCCGGACAACTCTCGCCAAACTTCCAACATTTCTGCTCAGTTTACGGACTTTGCACATTTACATAAAACCATATTTCTTGTTCCAGGGTTTGCTTACGCAAACCCATCCAAGGGAAAAACCCCCTTCATCACCGTTTCGTGATATAAAAATGAGGCTGTACAACGCTAGAATCGCCTTAGCTTTGGCCAGTAAAAGCGCCTGTGGCAAAATAAATAAATAAATTTGTATATTTACCGACGGACAGTACACGGCCCCATAAGTGGGAACGATCATGTGTATAGTGAACACGTTTCATAACATTAAATAAAGTTTACTGATAGCATTTCGGATCATGATTACTTTTCCTTGAGTCCTAGACCCGCGCAACTCATATGTAAAATTTACGGATGTTTGTATCGTCAAGAGTAGATAATAAACGAAGGGACTATTAGGCTGCAAAGACACAGGATTTGGTATGGTATGTAATGACATGTAGTGGGTAAGCTAGCTGTAAGCTATTGTCAAATGTTTTTTATACCAACTTCTGTCAATGTTTCTAGTGTTTGCTGTGAGTCAAATATCTTCAGAGCATTTGGTATAGTGAGGAAGGTCTGAAGGAGATTTCGGAAAGTGACATGGCTTGTACACATGCGTATCTGTAGGGGTAGTTTGTTCCACAAATAAGTGTATATCACCAAGAAGAAATTCGATCGAATTTTATGACTTGAAAGGTTTGTACGTATCAAGTAGCCGCCATTACGTGTGGGGTAGACTGCAGTCTTCCGCAGTTCAAGCGCGGTGCTGTCTGCGTAAATTCGTTGGTTTAAAATGTTGTAGAAGAGAACGAGGTTGTTCTTTAAGCGTCTCAGCCAAAGTGGATCCAGCTGGAGTTTTCGACAGCGATCATAATAAGTCAGGTTTGAGCAGCGTCCCATGAGCAGTTTGGTAAATGATCGTTGGACATTTTCTAGAGCCGTTCTGTCTTTCTTTCTCAATTGGCTGTGAAGGATAGTATAATATTCCAGAGTCGGTCGTACGATTGTCTTGAATGATTCAAGTCGTACTTCAGGTAGGGAGAAAGTTCTGGTGATATATCCGCATAGCTGCCTTGCTTTCGCAACCTGATAAAGAACATGTTCGGAGAAATTGAAAGAGTTGGAGTACCTAATTCCTAAGTCCTGAACTGAATCAGACGTTGGGATCACGTTTCCGGCAAGTATAATGGAGCCTTCTGGGATACGGCATCTGTACCCAAGTACTTGGGATTTCACTGCGGAGAACTTCATTAATAAGCGCTCACTAGCTATATTTAGTGCGGATAGGTCTTCACAGATGTTTCCCAAACACATATGTAGTTGGTCTGGATGAAATGAGTAAACCAGTTTGACATCATCTGCAAACAGAAATGGATGTCAATGTTTGATCGGGTCACATATATTGTTTACATAGATTAAGAAAAGTAGCGGTCCGAGCACACTTCCCTGGAAGACACCGCTGGTTATTGGCTTCGGTGTAGAATGTTGCTGACCGATTTTAACGACCTGAGTTCGACCGTTTAGGTATGAGTCGAACCAGTTAAGCAGCGGATTTCCAATTCCATATGACTCTAGAGCAGACAGCAGTGGCTGGTGTGGCACGCGGTCGAAAGCCTTTTGCATGTCCAACAGCATTATAATAATTTCCATTCCTCTGTCAATCATAGTCGTGATATGATCGAGAAATTGTAGCTGGCATGTAACGCAGGAGAGTTTTGAAAGAAAGCTGTGCTGTAAGGGTTTGATCAGATCCAATCTTGTAAGATATTGGACGAAGTTCTTCTTGACTATTCGCTCTAGGGCTTCGGAAGCAGCAGAGGTGTGATTTATTAGGCGGTAGCTTGACATTTGATTTCTCGGTCCACCCTTGTGCTTAGGCATTATAATGGATTGCTTTC